GCAATCTGAAGTGAAGAAAGATATTTTGGAAATAGACATTTTGCATTTTTATGCTCTTGTCTCAGGGGAAGTTATATGGGCTTTTGACATTATTGTATTTTTCTAAATTAAAATTATATAATTTGGGCCATGCCTGTGGCTCAAAGGAGTAGGGCGCCAGCCCCATATGCCGGAGGTGGAGGGTTCAAACCTAGCCCCAGCAAAAAAAACTGCAAAAAAATAAAAAAGAAAAGAAAATTATATAATTCTATAAATGATTTGCTCTCATGTGCTAGCCTGCAAACAGGAAGCTTGACAGAATTAAAATGTCTGAGCACCCCTCTAAATTCTGTCTCGTAGTTTTTTGTTTGTTTGTTGTTGTTGTTTTGTTTTCACTTTGTAATAAGCATAGATGTCCTATTTCCCGGTTGACCATTAACCGTGCATAATTGATTCACATATTTGTGTTATCCCAACCTTCCCATGGGGTGAGAATGGAAGTAATTCCACAGACTCCAAGTGTTACTATAATAAATAGAGCACAATCCAAGCAGGGTGGCGTAATGAAATAAAACTACAGACACTGAAATGTGAACAGAAGGTTACATTTAGTCATTTGCAAGTCTTACAAAATGTTCCTAAGAGAAACTCAAGGACACTTGTTTTCCCGTGAATTACGATGCTTCTAATGAAATGCTCCATGGTAGCCCTAAGTGGAATGAGCCTGTTGACGATCTAATGGTTTCAGAAAGGCAGATGGTATGAATGCAAATAAAATAATACATCCAGATTTAGCTGCAACTCTCGTGGTGTGGCCCAGTTTAGTGTGCCTCTGGGGATATTGCTGAAATGCAGGATCTGTTTCAGAAGATCCAACCAGGGACGGAGACCCTGTATTTCTAACAAGGGTCTTGTCCAGGACACAGCTCACATTGGTCTCACCTAACTTTGAGACACCTTATGGAAATTATGTGTATTACCGGGAGGGAATATTCTCTTCTTTCTTGGAGACCCGTGATGGATGTTAGCACCAAAAAATCCTGTAGTAAGGAAACAAACTCTTTTTTTTTTAATTGTGGCAAATGCACACACGCGCACACACACACTCACACCCCGTGAGATCTAGCCCCTTAAAATTATTTTAAGTCACCGGTGCAGTGTCGTTAATTCTAAGTGCCAGGTTGCATGGATGCCCAAAACATCTTCATCTTGTAGAACCATAATTTTTCACTCATTGAACAGCAAGTCCCCACCTCCCTCTGTTCACCACAGACTTCTGAGAGCACATGTATAAGTATTGACCTTACGTGAATAGTATGTCTGCGGAGAAGGTTAATTCCTAACAGTTTGCTGTCAAGGTTGAATAATGGGTTGAGACATAATCATGATTGCCAAACAGTTTGTATTGAAACAAAAAGGGAATATCTATGAGATTTTAAAATGAAATTAAAACTTCAAGTAAATATTTGAGATTATGTATAGCCCATACAGTACGGAAGAATGAGGAGCAGCCTTCACATTCAGCTTGATATAAATTTAATTCCCAAGTTCACTTCTTATGTGACTTGTTCTTGTCAACCAAGTAAAGTATTGACTCTTTCAAAGGCTCATTTTCTTTAGCTGAAAAATGTTTATTTTGCTATCATGGTTATACATTTTTAATAAAAATTAATTATAACAGTGCCTTGTCAAGAGGAGGTGTTCCATAAATCAGTAAATTAGAGTTCTTTTATGATTATCAGTAATACGGGTGAATTCCACAAATAATGTGCTTCTAGTCCTACTTAGACTCTGCCTGGGCTAGGCCCTAAATAAATAATATCAATTAATATAAAAACTACTCTGTAATTAAAATCAGATTTGACATGCTTTATGAGCTCTTTTTACATGGATTTTTCATAATATGCTTTCAAAACTAGTGGCAGATTTACTCTGTATCTGTACTTCAAGCAGGATAATGGAAAGTGATTTATACAGTTTTATTGAATTTACAAGGGCTAGAGTAAGCCGCGTTAATTATTGCCATGTCATTCCTGCAGGCTCACAGGAAGTGAGACAAAACATAAGCCAAACTAAATGTAATTAGCATTAAAATGACTTTAGCATGAAAGATAATCAAATGGGTCCCGAAGTGTCTCTTGTTGTCAACACTAGAAGAGAAGATCATACTTGTTTGCAGACATTCCTGGTAATTGCTCTCCCCCATCATGTGAAATATGAGAGATGCTTTTGGTCCCTATCATATTTCTCAAACAACTTTTTTATTTTTGACATCACAACCTCCACTGTCATAAATAATTAGTCTGGCTTTTAAAACGAGGCGACGCTAGCTGCAGATCTTCCAGGATGAAGGCCAGCTGCCCATCTCCCTAACAAGTAATCACTTTTCCCTTCCCAGTGGGTATCAGTTAATGCGAACAAGGTGCCCGGCTGTGCACGCTCTTGACAGTGGGAATGGTAACGTCAGTGAATTGAGGTTGAATTTAATACACAAATTTCCCCAAGAAAGAGATATTTTACATGGAATGCCATCCAAAGTATGTTCACTAGACATGAGCTGCAGCTCCTGGCAGTTTCTGGTTTAATAAACAAAAAAGTCCAAGCCTTGGTCCCTGCTTGGTCTTGATGGGTTCCCTCTCGAGAACACCCCTCTGCCTCTGCCGTGCTGCCTTCTCAGGAACAGTCCCGTTTCATCACAGGAGCCCCTGCACCTGAGGTTCAGGCTGGAGGACGTGGCTGGCTCTGTGCTCATGAATTCTCACTTAAGGCAGTCGTCTACAAGTGTCATGTGAACTATTTTAGACAGATTTTGCATTGACTTTTGTAAACTATGAAGGAGACAGGGGAAATTGTAATGGGCTTGTCATGTTACTTTAAAAGAAATGTGGCCTCCAAGTGAGAAATTAGAACTTCCTACTGTATTATTCTAAACAGTGAGATTGAAGAGAGCTTGAAATAGAAAATCTTATTTCATCACCATTAATTGTTTTTCATATGTAATGTCAAACTTTCTCTCTCTCTCTAAAGTTTATTGATGTATATATAGTTTGTGAATATATATATATAAAGTTTATATGAATATATAATCTTTCTATATATTTGTACTTCTGGATAATATGATAGGTCTAAGTAGTCAAGCTCTAATTCTATGTCCTGAGTTAATCAACTTTCAAGTAAAATACAGATGCCCCTCTAGAGAACACCATAAATTAATCATGATTTAACAAAGCCTAGATGTTTCACAATTGTGTAGGCCTTGTTTCTCTTAATATTATAAAAACTTAATGGGTTTATGAGATAGTAACTTTGAGGTCATAGGTCTCCTTTTTCTTAACTCAAAATGTTTTAAATTGATACTTACATTTTGAGTAGTATATTTTTTTTTAAAGAACAGAGGGACAAATATATTATTGTGGAATGATAAATCTAGTAACTATGTTTTAGATATTTTCATGTATAGAGAAGATTTTTTATCTTGTACTTCTTTTTTTTTTGGCAGTTTTTGGCCAGGGTGGGTTTGAACCTACCACCTCTGGTATATGGGGACGGCGCCCTACTCCTTTGAGCCACAGGCGCTGCCCTTATCTTATACTTTTTATCTCATATTACATATATACTACATGTAAAGAATCGCAGTTTTATAGAAGATATGATCTAGTCTGTTCATCAACTTATACTTAGCAAGAATGTTAACACAGGGATAAGAAGTTGATGAAAATTTATAAAATAATAAGAATAGTTTTCTCATATATAAAATTCTAAGTAATAGGCATTGATTCGAGGTGCCTTAAATAGCCATGTGACTTGGTAGATGCACTTTGTAACCCTATGAGATGTGTCATCACTATCCTGATTTTAGAGATGTGAAGACTGAGCCACCGAGATGATAATTAACATGCCCAAGATCACAAGATACTGGGTGATGTAGATTTGAAAGCCAAGAAGGAACATGGCTCCAGAATCTGTCTTGTTAACATCCAGGCTGTACCTCAGGGTCAGTGTCAGATGTGAAAGGAAGAAAATTCCTTCCGTCAGAATGGCAAGTGCTCAGGAAAGGTTCACCACAGCCCAGGAATTAGAATAGGGCATGGAAGGCTTGACACCCTTAGCACAGTGGTTATAGCACCAGCCACTTGTACCAAGGGACGGTGGCGGGTTGGAACCCAGCCTGGGCCAGCTAAACAACAATGACAACTGCAACAAAAAAAATAGCTGGGCACTGTGGTAGGCGCCTGTAGTCACAGCTACTTGGGAGGCTGAGGCAAGAGAATCGCTTAAGCCCAAGAGTTTGAGGTTGCTGTGAGCTGTGATACCACAGCACTCTACCAAGGGCAACATAGTGAGACTCTGTCTCAAAAAAAAAAAAAAAAAAAAGAAAAGAAAAGAAAAGAGCACTGAAGAATGAAAAAAAGAAGAAACATGGAAGAAGAATTTCTTTTTTTTTAAATTTTATTAAGTCAAATACGCATAGATCATGAATACACTCATGCATATGTGGGTTACAATGTGCTGATTTTTTTTTATACAATCTGATGTGGTTACATCAAACCAATCATCATAGCTTTCACCTCAGTTACTTGATTATTGTGCCAAAACATCTATGTTCTACATTTCACAGCTTTGACTTGTACCCATAAGTTTTTATTTAGAATTGTGATAAAAATGAATTATGTTCTGAGTGTCTTGCTGGTTATTATTTGATACACTGTATCATTAATCCATTAAAATAGAATTCACCTTTAAATGCATTTTCTACGTTAATTAGTTCCAATACTGGCAATCTTCTGACTCTGTTTATCTTTAAGGTCAATCTATGATTAACCTCCTGATAAATTTTTTTCACAACCTCCACCAATTGCAATTGGATCTTATCATGTCAGGAATTTTCTTGCTACTCAAAGGAGATACTTTATTAATGACTATGTATAATTTGGACACAATGTATACCTGTGGGTGAATTTCGTAGAGAAGAATGAAAAACTCAAAGGCAGCAGTTGATATGGTTCCGTTTTCTCTTCCAGGTAAACCAGTGATGATCGTGACCGAGTACATGGAAAATGGCTCATTAGACACATTTTTAAAGGTAGGATTTGGGCTGACTTTAGTTATTCAAAATGATATTTATAGATTAGCTGTGATGGTGTAATCGAAAAGTTCAAAACTTTAGTTATAAACAGAATAGAAATCTATGGAGTCAATAATTATACTGCAAAACTAATGTTGTTGTGAAAATTGTCCTTTTCAGAAAACTTACGTGATTTATCCTACAGTTTTAATTACATGTTTATTTACAACAACAAAAAAAATAGTTAAAAAGGCATGAAAGAAGGGAAGAAGAAAAAAGAGAAGAAAAGAAAAAAGAAAAGGAAAAGGAGATAAAAAACTTAGAACTACTTACATTTCTCAAAGGACACCATGTCAGGCAGAGGGAGAAAAGTGTCTAAAGGACTCATGCAAATCCTTATGCAGGTGTCCAGTGGGCATGTATAAAAGCTCACGTGCCAGGCACTATACCAAGGGCAAATCAGTAATAATAATCAATAATCAATCAGCCACTTAATAATCAATAGCCAATAGAAAAGTGTCTAAAGGACTCCTGCAAATCCTTATGCAGGTGTCCAGTGGGTATCTATAAAAGCTCACCTACTGGGCACTCTACCAAGGGCAAATCAGTAATAATAATCAATAATCAATCAGCCATTTAATAATCAATAGCAATAGAAAAGTGTCTAAAGGACTCCTGCAAATCCTTATGCAGGCGTCCAGTGGGCATCTATAAAAGCTCACCTACTGGGCACTCTACCAAGGACAAATCGGTAATAATAATAATCAATAATCAATCAGCCATTTAATAATCAATAGCAATAGAAAAGTGTCTAAAGGACTCCTGCAAATCCTTATGCAGGTGTCCAGCGGGCGTCTATAAAAGCTCACCTGCTGGGCACTCTACCAAGGACAAATCGGTAATAATAATAATCAATAATCAATCAGTCATTTAATAATCAATAGCCAATATTGTCAGATCATCTGGGTTTCAGGAATATATTTTTAATGTGCAAATCTCCCAATTTTAAATGTCGGAAACTCACTTTTTAAAGAAATAGCTTGTGTTAGACAATGTACCACCCTTGACTAAACCTATAGGCTGGCTTTTCATAACTTCGTTATATGGGCTACTGCTACTGATGACACCAAGGGGTGGGCGATGGCATTGGTGGCAAGTATAAGAAGGACGTGGGCAGTGAACAGGCTCATGGTCCACTCATGAGCCAGAGTTTCTTTCTCATCTCCAGCCTCTTCCAGATTCTGTTGCCAAATGTCACATCCATTCCTTCAGGCTCTTTAGTCTCTTGGTATTGATTAATTCATTTCAGAATAATTACTGGTTGGACCTTATGGGTCTGTGTGACGGCGTTGAGCTCAGTGCCCTGACAGACAGGAGACGTCTGTGAACGGCTGACCTTGTCCTCACTGCTGCCCAGTCGTCCCCTCCCTTCTGCTGCTGCAGAAGTTCCTGTGCCCTCTCTGGCCACTTGACATTTACCTGAATATGCCCAGCCAGCCGGCATTGTTCAAGTCACCCCCCAAAAGTACAGTATTGACTCACAGCAGGTCGCAGCCTGGGGTGATGAACAGACTCCCGGCGTGACTGAGAATAAAGGAGTCACAGGGCAGAAAAGATCCCAGAGCGGAATCTGACAAGGCTCTCAGTGCCTTTATCTGTTCTCAGCAGACAGGGGACAGATAAACATCACCACGTCAGCTGTGCCTTTTCCAACAGTTCCCATCCTCCCTCAGGTAGAAATCGCATATGAATTTTAATGAGGGATGTTATTAATGTGGGAATTGAAGGAAGAGCCCTCTGTACTTCCCCCAGCGACTGCTGCGGCTGGGCTGATATTTCGGCATTGTCTCTGCAGAAGAATGACGGGCAGTTCACGGTGATCCAGCTCGTGGGCATGCTGAGAGGCATCGCCGCGGGAATGCAGCACCTGTCAGACATGGGCTATGTGCACAGAGACCTGGCCGCTAGGAACATCTTAATCAACAGCAACCTCGTGTGCAAAGTGTCCGACTTCGGGCTTTCCCGGGTGCTGGAAGATGATCCCGAGGCCGCCTACACCACCAGGGTAAGATCTGAAGGAATGCATTTCTGAAACACTGCACCAGAGGCATTGAATGTTTAAAGATTTTAAAAGAAATGGCAAAAGGACATCATTGCTCCAGCAAAATCAGGAACAGGGAGTGAGAGAATTAAAAGTCCAGGTGATTCATCTATGTACCAGCAAATTCGGACATTAAACTCAGATAAAAATCTACTCAGCTCCAAGTCTTAAATTCATTTTTCCTAAAGATACTAAAAATTAGAAATTGACTTCAGAATGGACACAGACACGTAAAAATCATATACAACCTAAATGTAAATGGAAAAAGTTGAACAGAATCTTGTATACTAACAGCAATAACTGTCTGTGTGGTCGATGGGACCCTCACACATATGCACATGTGAGTCCGTGGGAAATCGTGGAGCAGCTGAACTCTCTGCACCCTCCTGTCTTCACTCAGAAAATAAATACAGAAACATAGCAAGATAGACAGTTTACTGTTTATGGTTTTAAAAGGGGGGAAAGAGCTATTTCTTCAAAAAACTTCATTTATGATATGGAATATGATAATGTCTACTTCCTTTTCTAAAATACTATGAAAAGGGGTAAGCCCACATGTATGGAAAACTGGTTACCAATGCATATTGTCATCATTAGCTTAAGTCAACACTTCTCCAGCAAAGTAATTGCTTATTGGATTGATGTGGAAGATAATTTACAATTTTTTCTATGAAAAATGGTAGATATTACTCCAATAGTATTTAATGGACAGACATAATATTGAACTCCTCAAGTTGGAATTCCTCATGATAAATGACATTGTTTAATTCTAAATGTTTTCCATGTCATCAAATTAGATATACTCATTGCGTAAACCCCTTTTGAAGATAGAGATTATTATTATATTCTTTGCACTAATTTGATTAAATTTTGCTTTGGTACAGAAAAATATCTTTGTCATCCTTCAAAGATGCTTATTTTCTTATTTAACTCAAATAAAAATTATATCTACTGTTAGGCTGAAAGTTATTTTTCATAGATTGTAAGTAAATTACAGGCTTTTTTTTTTTTTTTTACATTGTTGCTTGATCGAGACTAACTCATATAAACAAACAAAGTCCGTCATAGGTCAGCTTGATCAACAGATTAATTGACAAGATACCTTTTCTCTTGTAGATCTGACTGTTACCGCCATGATCTGCATTACATGAAATCTCAATTAAGAAGTCTCCTGTGACTAGAGTCACCTTTAATAAACTTAGCCTAACCAAGACCAAGATTATAGAAAATCTTTGCCAATATGATTGGCTGGAGTCTTAGTTAAGCACCAAGAGCAGATTTTTTCAAGGTCTGTGTCAATGGGTTGGATTGCAGGGTCAGAGAGAGACAGGGACCCTGTGATGAGACCCCCTCCTCGCCCACCACAATACCTAGTCCTCGGAAATGGGGTGTGGCGGCCGATTATGGAAAATCAACGTAAGAGATGAGAAGATAAGGGAACTTCAGATAATTATAATGACACATATGATGGTCCGTAGACCAGGAGAAAAATGATGGGCTAAAGTTTAATATAATCAACAAGGACAATTCTAAAAGTTGATCACACATTACAGAGAATCTGGGCATAACTCAGCTTCATCCTGTGATCCTGTTGAGGAATATTTAATCAACAAAAGTAAGATTCAGGAAAGGCTTCAAATGGCATTGTAATACATCTAAAGAGCCCACAATTCAAACTTTATTTCAACTCCACAATAATTTCAGCCACCACCCCACATTATCATTTCTCTATATATACTAAAACACTTGTTAATAAGCAGCAATGTAGATCCCAGTTTTCTCCCACCTTTCATGTGATTAAAGTCTTCTCTTCCTGAAAAAAAAAATGGGAATCCAGACATTAGTTTTTTTACAAGAAAGTGTTCAAAACATTCACCTCTCTCACACAATATATATTTGCTAATTCAGGAAGTATTTGGTTATATAGGCTT